GTTGCTCCCCCTCAATCTCTGGCTCAACATCATCTTCTGCTGCATCATCATGAGGTGTTTGCACTTCCTCATCAATATCATGAACAGCAGAGGGATTGAGAGGATCTAAATCAACAAGATCATCAGTACTAGACTCAGCTGACTCAAGCTTGTCGATGTCTTCAATAGTCTGATCTTCCAAGAAAACAACATCTCGGCTTCTGACAACTTTCTTGTCAACTGTATCATACAACCTGTATCCAAATTCTTCATGCCCATAGCCAAGAAATATGCATTGCTTTGCTTTTGGATCAAGCTTGGACCTTTCATCTTTTGGAATATGAACAAAAGCTCTGCAGCCGAATACCCTCAAGTGATCATAGGAGACTTCCTTCCCTGTCCAAACTTTCTCTGGCACATCACCATTCAACGGAACTGAAGGAGACAAATTGATAAGATCAACTGCGGTCCTCATTGCCTCACCCCAAAAGGATCTTGGCAATTTAGAATGTGAGAGCAAACATCTGACTCTCTCAAGAATGGTGCGATTCATTCTCTCTGCAACCCCGTTCTGTTGAGGTGTCTTTTTAACTGTCTTTTCATGCCTGATACCATGATTTGTGCAATACTGATCAAATGGTCCAATATATTCACCACCATTATCCGAGCGAACACATTTCAACTGTCTACCTGTTTCTCTTTCAACCTTGGCCTGAAAAATCTTAAACACATCTAGAACTTGATCTTTAGTTTTCAGTGTATAAGCCCAAACTTTTCTAGAGTGATCATCAATAAAAGTGACAAAGTATAGAGCACCACCAAGTGTCCTAACTTTCAAAGGACCACATACATCAGAATGTACCAAATCTAAAACATGAGATTTTCTAGATGCAATGTTTCTACGGAATGATATTCTGTTTTGTTTACCATGGAAACAATGAACACAAGTTTTCAAAGGCGTACCTTTTATCCCCACTAGAAGCTCTTTCTTGGACAAAACTTGCAATCCTTTTTCACTCATATGTCCAAGCCTTCTATGCCATAAATCAGTGGATGAGTCATTCTCTAAGGTATTCACAACACCCTTGCAGATTTTTGCTTGCATAGTGTAAAGAGAACAAGTCTTCTTTCCTTTTGCTACCACTAGAGAACCTTTGGAGAGCTTCCATTTTCCATTACTGAAATTGTTGATGTAGCCTTCATCATCTAACTTTCCAGCAGAGATTAAATTGAGTCGAATATCTGGTACATGCCTCACATCTCTAAGCAGCAATTTGCATCCAATATTTGTTTCCAAGCAAATGTCACCCATGCCGACAATTTTTGACACATCTTCATTTCCCATACGGACATTCCCAAAATCACCTTGTGAGTAAGAAGTAAAGAAATCAGCCCGCGAAGTAACATGAAATGAAGCTCCAGAATCAATTACCCAATCCGTCTCTTGGCCAATCAAATTAACGCTAGCATCATCACGGATAATCATGAGTTCATCATCGGTAACTACAGCTGTATCAATTTGCTTTTTCTCTGAATTTTTCTCTTTGTTCTGCTCCTTGAACTTGAGTTTTCTACATTCCCGCTTCATGTGCCCTTTCTTGTGACAATAATAGCATTCAACATCCTTTTTTGACATCGAGCTTGAACGACCTCTAGATTTATCACGGTTGTGCGGAACCCTACTCTTACTCCTGCCTCTCCCCCGGTTTTCCATTACAAGTGCCTCGGAGTAAGAAGAACCTGATGATTTTCTTCTTGTTTCTTCATTCAACAAACTGCTGGTAACTTGACTCATTGTTACCACTCCATCAGGTGCGGAGTTACTAACTGTGACCACCAAAGTTTCCCAGCTTTCGGGAAGTGAACTAAGAAGTAACAAAGCTTGCAACTCATCATCAAAAGTAATTTTCATGGCGGCCAACTGATTCACAATGCTCTTAATCTCATTCAAATGCTCTGCAATAGAAGTACCCTCCTTATATTTAGAGTTCACAAGCTTTCGAAATAAAAAGGCTTTATTCACTGCCGTCTTTCTATCATACAAACTCTCCAATTTGGTCCAAAGACCATGTGCAGATTTTTCTGTAGAGACATGATGAAAGACACTATCATCAATCCATTGCCGAATAAAACCGACAGCTTTCCGGTCTAGCTTTTTCCACTCGTCATCTTTCATCCCTTCCGGTTTGCCACTATCACCCTCTATGGGTCCATTCAAATCTTTACAAAATAAAAGATCTTCCATTTTAGTTTTCCAAGTCACCCAATTTGTGCCATTGAAACTAACCATACGTCCAACGTTGCCGTCCATAATTCACACACAGAAATATAACGAATCGGAACCGAATTAACCAATTGCTCTGATACCAGATGTTGGGAAAATAGGCTTTCCCACAAGTGTAAATCAATGGAAGCAATATAAATAAAATAACAGAAAATAAATAAGCACACAAGATTTACGTGGTTCCCTCAAATAACTTGAGGTACATCCACGACGACCGGTAGGTCAGTTTCTTCCACTATCACCAAATCAGATTACAAAGTGGCCAAAAGGCATAAGCCTTACAAACACACCAAGGTGTAAATCACAAGAGGAAAATACCTCACAAAATAAGTGAACCAAATCTCCAAGAACAAACCGCAAGAAACCCAAATATCAAGTGAAGAAATGTTACCCACTTGAAGAACAAATTTGCAGATTTTTCTGGCACCAAAAAGGAGAAGAAGAAGGCTGAATTTTTGTTGAACCAAAGACTGCCGAAAATATGTCTTCTTGCCAAACCAACAGAGAAAAGATGAACCAAAGAAAAGGACAAAACTTGTAGTCTTTGGTGGCTGCCAAATTCCTTTTAACTTGAAGACTCCAAACCAAAGTCTTGGATAAGAGTCATACACGGGTAAGTCACCAAAAAATTAGCAAATTGATGAGTCCCACAAAGGAGGGAAACCCAACAGTCAAACCTTGGCAGACCCAACAACACAATCCTAAATCCCGAAGAACACAGCTACATCATACTCTGCCGCGGGAAGAAATTTCACAATATCTAGGAAGATATATTATCGAGAAACTGGAAAAACATCCCATACACGAATAGAAAACATCACAGCAACAACCAAGACAAATTATCAAGAAACCTATCTTTAATCATATCAATATATAAAGTGTAGACTAGGAAGTATGATCGAATCAAATATATGAAAGCAGCTAGAAGTTGTTTGACTGAATATCATACAAAACATTGTATGCACCATTATATAAGACTACTAGTTATTGCCTGTGTCTGAAGGCATATAGTAATAAAAAATGGTAAATAATAAACATATTTATATTTATATTCAAAATCAAATCACAAACATAAAGAAGAGATAAAAGAATTTAAGCATCGGTTTGTAGTGGGTGTGAGAGGTGGTGAATGACAGTGGTAGTGGTAGGAGACGGTGATGATTGTGGTGGGCGGCGGCGGCAAGGGCGATGGTGGTGGCGGCGGCAACGACAATGATGGTGGTGGTGGTGGTGATGGCGGTGGCGGAGGTGGTGGTAGGGGTGGTGGCGACAGTGGTGGCGGCGGGGGGGAGGGTGGTGGTGGTGGTGGTAGTAGTAGAGGTAATAGTAGGGTGGTTACAAACACTATTTTTTTAAAAGTATTTATGAGGAATAATTTTTAAATATATTTATAAAAAGTCACTCCAAATACACTCTTAAGGACTTATTTTTTCTATTAAATTTAGGGTGTTAATATTAGTTGTTAGATTAACTTTAAAGTAAAATTTAAAACAATCTCAATCGCGAATAACAAAAGTCATTTTGTTTATCTTTTGAGATTTGAATTGTAAACTAATTTATTATATAGATATCACTTAAGTTTCACGTGATAAATCAATGATAATGACAATTGCAGCAGCAATCACAGCTGAAATTAGGCACAAATTCTGTGAATATGGAAGCCACCAGAAGTTGTACCACAAGGTCGGCTTGTGCCAAGATCCAGACTCAAAGAAGATGCCAAGATGCATCTTTCATCTCTTCAATGGAAATCTACCTAGCCAGCCACATTCTTCTAAACAAACATGGTGAAACACTACACCAACCGGGAAATCTGTGACAAAGGAACAATATGGATTCTAAGCACTGGGCTTATTCATCAAAACATGATTTGGGGTGTAGATGTCATGTAACTATCAACTTGATTAAATCAAATGTAGCAGGGACTACACGATGTCACCATAAACCACGTATAGAAGATTGTTTACAATTTATACTGCCAGAAAATAAAGAATTTTTACTTTCCAAACAATACATAATAAGTACCAAAGCAGTTTAAGATCTCTAAGAAACTATACACCACACCTGCCCCAGTCTCAACCGGCTGTAAACTAATTATATAAAAAAGCAAATTACTAACACATGACAGCAACAAAATGCGACTGGCTAAACAACCTTTTTATGAAAGCTAAAGTCTTGTTATTTATAGAAGTCAAGCTTACAGAATTAGTTGAATAATCTATTTATTTGTGAACAAAGGAAGTGCAAGAATAAAACGGTACGTTCAGGCCATGAATTCCCTAACAAATACATATTCCTCCATTTTATCAGAATAAGTTAATCATCCATTTGTTAAATGCTGAACAAAAATCATGTCACTTAACATAGCTTCCCAAGCAACGATGATCAAAGAGCTTGCATATCTAAAAGGTGATACATTGGTGCAGATGTTAATATTATGGTAAAAATAATCAAAACATACACAACCATGGTAAAATAGGATGAGATGCAAACATGAATTAGCAACTTGTAACCAATATCAATATAAAACTACATAAACTTGCACAGTAATGGACAAATATTCTTGTGGGATACCAAAAATTCCAGTGGCAAGATCAAAGTCTCTGCCAAGAAACATTGATGACATATTGTGCATATTCCAAAGAAAATTAACCCGCTCACTGTAAACTTTCACATGTAAGTATTGAAGTACGAAAGGAAAAGATTAGGAAGACAAATCGAAACTTGCATTCGGTGATCAGGCCACCATCTCAAATTTTTTCAACGCATCACAATTGAGTGTTTCCCGTATCCAACCCCATTGAAGACGCTGCAACTCGAGCCGGCAATTCTGCACAAGAGCTGAGTAGTAGTCCTTCTCAACCCTCTGCTCAATTGCCATGCGTTCAGGACTATTAGGAGGATACTCCAGCTCAAACTTCCCTGAACTCACATAGAATTCAACACCCTTTTGTGTAGTAAACCAATGCTCATACGGATATATTCTTGAAAAACTGTAAATTGGCTCTGAGGATGGCAAAAGTTCAACAACAGTATCAAAATCACAGGCAACAACTGAATTAGAGCGCGAATATTAAACCCATTGGCCCTGATCACCAGTTCTAGCACCCATTCTAGGTCCAAAACTAAACCCCTGAAATTGAGTTGTTGCTGCTGGGTGCATTCCTCCAAAGAAGAAATTCCTGAAAATCTCATCAGCATCAAAATCAGCTTCGTAAAACCCATTAAATTCTCTCCCTCCACGCCTTGTGGGGCGCCTTTCGTAAACAGGCTCATCATGCCCAACAACATCATAATTTTTCCTAAAAAAAAAAAAAACATCATATTTTTTCCTACTCTCCTCATCACTCAAACACTGAAACGCCTTGGAAACCGCCTTAAACGCCTCCTCGGCACCAGGTGCTTGATTCTTATCAGGATGAACTTTCAATGACAATTTTCTATACGCTTTTCGAATGTCCTCAACATTACAACTCCTCTCTAACCCTAATATCTCGTAATAATCTTTTTCCTCTCAATCTCTCTCACAATTGAGATCTGCTCTTCGGTATAAGACACCGAAGCGGTCGATGAAGCCGATGCCGAAGACCCAGTTGTTGAAACCCTACGGCGAGGCCCATCATCAGAGATTTTCGATGGAATTTCATTGGTGGGTGCATTGGACTGTGATTGAGCTTCGACTTTAGATAAAAGTTCATCAACCGATAGAGATGGATCGAGCCCACGAGCTTTGTTGACGAATTTCAAAGCTCGGGTTCGATCACCTGATTCGATTGCGTTTTGGGCGATCTTCAAGCATTTCAAAGCCTCGTCTTTTTTACCATCCATGTCTCAAATTCACCTAAATTGAACCGACAAAACCCTAAAAACCATTCATATATATATAATAGTACATGAGAATGGAGTAAACAAAAATGGGAATTGAATTAGGAATTGGATTTTACACGTGGATTAGAAAGCCCTCGTCGCGGATTGATCGATTGGGATTTGGATAATGATGATCAGTTTAGAGGGTTCATGAGTGGATTGAATATAAGGGTCGTTCTGTTTGGAAGGAGTTTTTTCGCGGAGACAAAATCCAATTGAGAAAAGGGGTTTTGGGTAAAAGGAGTATTGGAATATCTGCTGATAGGGGTGGCAATCGAGTCGTGTTTGGTCGGGTTCGTGTCGTGTCGAATATTAGTCGTGTCGAATATTTGTCAACCTATACCTAACCTATTTAACTATTCGTGTCGTGTCGTATTCGTGTTCATATTCATGTTGACCTACATAAACTTTGAATAAAAAATTTAACTCTAAAATTTTATTTTCACTTAATTGAATCTCTCCTCATAGTTTTTCTACAAATTAAAAATTAACTTAATAATAATAATAACAATAATAATGAGTAATAGTATCTTTTTTATACAATAATTATGTCAGTGTTTGATAAACAGTTATAAATAATTAATATTTTATTTATATAATAATAATTAATATATGTTAATCGTACATCATACAACCAAATTAAACATCAAAAGTAATAGAAAAAATAAGTCATCAAAACATGAAAACTCATACATGGAACAAAAAGATCAAGTCAATCTCCTTCGAATTAAAAACATCGTGTTGACGGGTCAATTCGTGTTAAACGGATTGAACCCGAACACAATCCATTCGTGTTGGCGGGTCGTGTCATACGCGGGTCGTATCAAAAAATTAGTCAACCCAAACCCATTTATTCGTATCGTATTTCGTATCGGGTTATCGTGTCGTACAAAAAATTGTCACCCCTATCTGCGGAAACGTTGTCCTGCCCTCATTAGGACCTGTTTGGATGCCTGGAAAATTAATTTTCTAGTCTTAATTGGAATTTTTCTCTCAATTCAACGGTCAAGTTATTGGAATTAGTTTACAAGCGCCTCGATTAATTCTTTCTTTAGTCTGAATGAGTTACAAGATTCGAACTCAATTACATCTAAATTTACAATTCTTTCTTATTATCATTTGAATTACTCTTGAAATTATAATATTTTTCTCTGGTGAACTTGATAATATGGCTCATAAATTATCTAATTTTTATTTCAATTGAACATTCAATTTTGCAGACCATCTCATGTATATATCAAATATATAATTTTAATTATCTTAATTTTTGACTCATGTGATATGCATGTGAAACTCAGCAAATTTAGACATAATGGTTATATTGAGTTAGATTATACGATTAAGAGATTAAATTGACATGTAAATTAGTTTTAGGACTTAGTTAACTCTGATGGCATATTTAAGCTACATCTTTTTTCTCTGTTGCGACTTTTAGGATATTTCTAGTCTCAGCTCTGTCTTGCCTTTTTACGGCCCAACTTGACGGCTCACGAGCAGCAAAATAGACCACAAAGCAGAATAGTAGGCTTTAGTCTTTCTCCTGTAAGGCCCAACGAACTAGTCCGCCGAAGACTCACCAAGGTTAGTTCCTCAGTAGGCCGTATAATCGAACAGAACTTGCGAAGCTCGTTATTTTAAACGAGTTTTAAAAATTGGGTAAATCGGAAGGAGTAATACCAAATTAGATTTAATTATAAAAAAATATATAGAAAAAAATGTGAGGTAATTAAGTGTTTAATTTTGATACTTATTTATATCTAAGTACACTATTTGAATTTTATTAATTTTTTTGTGACATTTTTACCCTCTATTAATCCATGTATATTTAATGCACCATTTTTCTTTGGAAAGTAGTGCATTAAACATATCCTAACTATATATATATATATACTTGTTTGAATTTTAAAATTTGTATTCATGTATATATGAAAACGTATATGCATATAAATTATATTTTAATGCACATTGATTCATGTTGTAAAACTTGAATTTTTTTTTTTATTATTATTATTAAAAATCCTAATTAAAGGGTAAAATAATAATTAATTGTTAAATTACGGGTCAAAAACATAAATTTAAAAAAAAATAAATTTATAATATATATATATATATATATACACTCACTTTTCTCTCTCTCTCACTCTCTGTCTGGCCGCCTCTCCACAACAAAACCAAAAGTGGAAGATTGGAAGAGTGAACCGTTTAATCGCTTCGGGTTAAGAACTAAAGTTGCTCTACTCAGCGAGAGCTACGCAATCACACCAAATATCGTATTTTTCTCCGAAAGAATATCAAAGCTGATAATCTAGGTCTAAAGCTTAGGAAGCTAAATTTGGGCTTCCTTGGCGTTCTAGTAAGTGGGCTCACATTACGAGAGGTAGGATTTTCCCTATTTAAATTTAATTTCAACTTAAAATATAACATAAAACAAAGGATAGGCTATGAGTGTATATCATATGTTAGGTCTTGACTAGTGTGACTAGTGAGTCAAATATATGATTTATAGTTAACCTTGTAATTAATAAAATCCTATTGTGATCAACTTGGTGTAAGTTAATGTTAGTGGTTTAAAGCATGTTAATTGTATATTAGCAATACTTTATATTTTAATGGCAGATCAAGTTTAATAAAATTATTAACTTATTATGTGATTATGAAATAATATGTATGTTAAATGATTATTTGACATATGATTATTTTGGTGGACTTGTGCGTATGTTTATATAATTAATAAACATGTTGCCATGTTGAAAGTTATAGCATGCTAGTTGTGTAAATTGATGTGTTCTTTAGGTGTTTGATTAAATGTCTAGAAGAATACAAGTATTTTAGTTGAGTTGATTATCTTACATAACATTCTTGAGATCGTGTTAAAATGTCATTATATTGTATTCATTATGTAATGAACATTGTATTGCACTATATTCATGGGCATTAATATGAGTGGGAGTGTATACATGGTATGAAATCAATCACCACATAGGTGGTTGATCGTGGGCTCGGAAAAGTTGCACCAAGGTTCGGCTGAGTCGTACGGGAAAATTAAATGAATAAATGTGTTGGGGACAACAAGAAGGGATAGATTCTCCCTCGGGTGCAAGACCTGCTTACTTGGTTTATACACTTTCCGGTGGTGAAATTCTAGAAAAGTGTAACGGCGAAAACAGAGCCGCAGGTGGGATGTCCTGAAGATCTGTTGATGGTTGGTGTCCCATTGATGTAATACCATAAATCACCTCCCCACAAAGACACAAGAAAATGAATTAATTAGTCATTGAGTGTAAATAACACCAATGATGGGGGCTTGGAATGCCCGGATACATACGTATGATATTGCATGTGTTATGGGAGCTCAGGATGGGGCTCGGGATTGGTATTGCTTGCGTGAGNAAACGTATATGCATATAAATTATATTTTAATGCACATTGATTCATGTTGTAAAACTTGAATTTTTTTTTTTATTATTATTATTAAAAATCCTAATTAAAGGGTAAAATAATAATTAATTGTTAAATTACGGGTCAAAAACATAAATTTAAAAAAAAATAAATTTATAATATATATATATATATATATANTATCTCATGGCATGACATGATTTAGACATTCGATCATAATAGACATATTTGAATGAATGCATCAAATGATTGTTGCATGTGACATTCTATATGCATTTAGGTTGAGAGGTATTCTCTATAGAAGTTACCTTATTGAGCGTTGGCTCACCCTTTATGGGAACATTTTTCAGGTATNCGCCTCTCCACAACAAAACCAAAAGTGGAAGATTGGAAGAGTGAACCGTTTAATCGCTTCGGGTTAAGAACTAAAGTTGCTCTACTCAGCGAGAGCTACGCAATCACACCAAATATCGTATTNGTTACCTTATTGAGCGTTGGCTCACCCTTTATGGGAACATTTTTCAGGTATTGCACAGACGTCCACTGAAGGCAAGGCCATGGGCCCGGTTTGACGACAGAGCCGATCTGTGGCTCCTATTTTGATATTGTAGTCCCTTGTTTATATTTACTTATTGCCTTGTATAATTTTATAACAAAAACTTGTTTATATTTATAAAGGCATGTATATGAGACTCTTTTGGGACATTNCTGATAATCTAGGTCTAAAGCTTAGGAAGCTAAATTTGGGCTTCCTTGGCGTTCTAGTAAGTGGGCTCACATTACGAGAGGTAGGATTTTCCCTATTTAAATTTAATTTCAACTTAAAATATAACATAAAACAAAGGATAGGCTATGAGTGTATATCATATGTTAGGTCTTGACTAGTGTGACTAGTGAGTCAAATATATGATTTATAGTTAACCTTGTAATTAATAAAATCCTATTGTGATCAACTTGGTGTAAGTTAATGTTAGTGGTTTAAAGCATGTTAATTGTATATTAGCAATACTTTATATTTTAATGGCAGATCAAGTTTAATAAAATTATTAACTTATTATGTGATTATGAAATAATATGTATGTTAAATGATTATTTGACATATGATTATTTTGGTGGACTTGTGCGTATGTTTATATAATTAATAAACATGTTGCCATGTTGAAAGTTATAGCATGCTAGTTGTGTAAATTGATGTGTTCTTTAGGTGTTTGATTAAATGTCTAGAAGAATACAAGTATTTTAGTTGAGTTGATTATCTTACATAACATTCTTGAGATCGTGTTAAAATGTCATTATATTGTATTCATTATGTAATGAACATTGTATTGCACTATATTCATGGGCATTAATATGAGTGGGAGTGTATACATGGTATGAAATCAATCACCACATAGGTGGTTGATCGTGGGCTCGGAAAAGTTGCACCAAGGTTCGGCTGAGTCGTACGGGAAAATTAAATGAATAAATGTGTTGGGGACAACAAGAAGGGATAGATTCTCCCTCGGGTGCAAGACCTGCTTACTTGGTTTATACACTTTCCGGTGGTGAAATTCTAGAAAAGT